TAAGACGGGCAACAGTAAAAAATACAGTTGGAGTCATCTCAGATTGAACAGAATTAGAAAACACCGACCAAACATTTCCTGCTGATGAAAATTCAGTGATGATTGGAATACATAGGGTTTTGAATCGTTAACAGAATCGGCATAACGTACAGCTTCAAAACTGTTTACGAGTTCTTGCTTGTTGAAATTTTTCAGATGTCCCTTCGAATGTTATCTAGAGCCAAATTTACAACTGATTAGTCAGAATGAAAGCAATTACCAGCATTTCGACTCATCTCTCTTCTATAGTATTCTGGTTAATCCCTCTATAAACTTTATTTTGGGTGTGCTTCGACTGGGTATACCTGTTTATTAACCATTCAGGCGCTGAATATTTTCACTTTTTATGTGTATTTTAATGAACTATTATTATTATTATTATTCACCAACATCTTATGGGTACATAAGTGTTGTGAAGAAACCATTACGGGCTTCTTCAAAAATACAATAATACACAAGTATCAATAATGTTAGCATTACATTTGCCACATTTGAGAAAAGAGAGTAGTAATAATAGAATAATAATAATAAATCAGGTTCTATGTAATTGAGAAGAATATTGAATTGAGTTTAAAGAAGGAAAGGAGGAAAATAAGGGAGTAGAAATAAAGGAGACGTGAGATATGTCAATAGTTTTATGAGCGTATTTATGAACACAGAACAAGAATAAACGACTATGTATGTATCGTCAAATTATTAACAAAAAAAATAGAAAATAATTAAGGAAAAGAAAAAAACAACTTGTTATTGCAGTAAGATATGACGCTAGATTAAGTGTTTGTGCAGTCATAGTTTGGAGTGATACTATGAGAGTCTCAATTAAATTAAAAGGATAACCCAAATATCAATATGTATGGGTCATATATGCATAGTGAAGATAAAACGAGTCTGAGAAGTTAATTTAAGTGTAATACAAGTTATTGTTTCAATTACAAACCTCTTAATCTTAAGAATAATATTTATTTAGATAGAAAAAACAGAGAAAAAAGAAAAGAAATAAACACCTAATGAATAGGTTTAACCATGATAATTGTGTAATGAATATTGACCTCTAAAGTAAACAAACAATTTAGAAAAATGAAATAAAAATAAAAAAATAAATAGATAAAAAAACCTTTAGTGCACTAGAATAAATACATGTAGATTTATGCAATAGTATATAGAGTGAAACCGGATATTAATGTAAACATTTGTGCAATTATAATTAAGAATGATGTTGTAAAAATCACGATTAATTGCAAAAGATGAACATTAAATTCTATGTGTTATATATATATATATGTATATGGTGAAGATAAAATGAATTGAAGTTAATTTATCTAATTGTGCCGTGAGATAGTTTGTTTCTAGTTATAGACTTTGGATATTTAGGAAGAATATATGTTCGGAAGGATAAAAAGAGATAAATAGAATATCTTATATATCGAGTGACCAATAATGATATTAATAACGGTAATCATTTTACATAAGAACCTAAGCAGATTTCATCTATTAAGATGAATAGAAAGAAAATACAATAAAATAGACATTAAAACTTTCAGAGATTGCATCTTGCTATTCAGTCAATTAGATGAATGACGGACCTTGTTTGAATAAATCATTAATTAATACATTGATATTCAATACGTGACACAATCCACTTTCGGAAAGAAAATCGTCAAGGAGACTTTTGAACTGGGTTGTAGTTTCACTGCAACGGAGGTTTACTGGCAGTCTGTTCCACATGGTTGAGTAGCGAATAACGAAGAAATTATGGCGTAAGTTTGTGTGAGTTCTTGGAATCGGTAGAATATTTTCCTTATTGCGTAGATTGTGGGATGATATCATAGAGTATAAAGGGGTGGATACCGAACAGTAGGAAATACCGTTAATAAGCCGGTAGATAAAGACAAGGTTTAATTTGATATGTCTGATCCAGAGAGGTTCTAATTTGAGTTGTTGACATCTTTGGTGATAGTCTTTGTTGTCGGAATACCTCAGAACAGATTTGGTAACCTTCGCTGAACACCTCCAATTTTAATCAGGTCGTTATGCCTGCAATTACTGTAAACTGAAATACTATATTTAAGAATGAGCAAGATACATTTTCTGCATAATAACAACCTCGATTCGATATTATTGAAGCTTTGGATACTTGAGATGCAATGTGTTCAGAAAAGTTCAGACTGTTGCTATATCCTAAACCCAAGTCACGAACAGTGTTGAGAGGTTTCAGTGTAAGTTTGTGTATAGTCAGATTTAAGTTAAGGCAGCGGCCAATGTGAATAAACCCACTTTTGTCAACATTAAGTGGCAAATTCCACGAAACAGTCCATTCGTATAATTCGTTTATTTCTTCTTGGATTACCGCTGAAATATAGCTTTCTTTGGTAGGAGAAGAGGATGAAAAAACTACTTTTAGGTTATCGGCAAAAAGGAAAGGTTTACCATACTGAAAGAGGGAACACATGTCATTGATAAAAAGGAGAAAGAGTAATGGACCAACAACACTTCCTTGTATAACCCCACCGGTTACATTCACAGGTTGACAGTAGCAAGATCCAAAGCGAACGATTTGGCTACGTTCTTCTAAAAAGAATTTGAGCCAACACAAAAGGGGATTCTGTATACCAAATGAAGAGAGTTTTAGAAGAAGAAGTTTGTATGAGACACTGTCGAAAGCCTTGCTAAAATCGAAGTAAAGAATTATCACTGACTGACCAACATCTCTTCTCTTGGTAATTTGATCAAAAAATTCCAGGTGCGATGTGAAACATGAGCGTTTAGTCATAAACCCGTGTTGGGATGAGCTAATCAGACTAGCTGAAAGTAAAAATGATAATAGCTGTTTGTGGATGATTTTTTCCATGGTTTTTGAGAGCACAGATGTTAAATTAATTGGCCTATAGTTAACAATATCACTACGTGATCCTGTTTTGAATCTAGGGCTGATAAGAGATGTTTTCCATACAGATGGATAGGTCCCATATTCCATAGGTTGAAAAGTTTCAAACAAAATAGTGGGAATTCTCTACTCTCATATTTCACAAATGATGAAGGGATCCCATCAGGTCCACCATCATAAGAATTTTTCAGGGCAGCTATGGCCTGCTTGATGTTGGAGGGTTTAAAATCAATTTTCGATAGGTATCTGGATGTTAGCATTGGAAATGTAATGATAGAGCTTTCAGTTTCAGTTTTGTAGCATTGCGAGAAGTGCTTGCCAAATTGTTCACAAATATTATTTGGGTCGTCAACAATGCTTCCGTTAACTACGAAGAATTTAGTCGTGCCAAGGGAATTTGATTTCACACGGGATTTAAAAAGCCGAAGTATTGATAATTCTGGGCTTTTACTACCTAGGGCTTTATTTTGATCTCCAAGCTGACGTAGACGAATTGGTTGGATAGTCTCAATGTTGGAGCCTAGAAATTAATTCTAAAAAGAGTTTGCTAATGCACATTGGACATGGTATTAATTGCCAGTATATTATCGACGGTACATCGACCCCATGAGTTCAGAAAAATACTTAGGGATAATAGTAGGTCACGACTTGAAAACAACTACTCTTAGCAATGCAGCAGCAGCCAATGGCTTCCAAGATTTGTGGTCACTTTGTCGCGCATCCAAATGCTTTGGAGAGATGCCTCGAACTTTATTTCCCACCTATGTAAGGCCACACCTATAGTACTGTGTCCGAACAGCCAGCCCATGTCTCGCTAGGGATACTAACACACTCTAACATGTTCAGCGTGTGAAAAAACAAGTGTAGAGTCTTTCCAAACTGGCCTATGACGAGCGCCTAAAACGCCTTAACCTTTTCTCAGAGCTCGAGGTGACCTAATACTGGAATACCGCATCTCTAATAACGATTTGGGTGTTAAGATGTTTTATATTGTGCTCACTCCCAAACTGATCATCTTTAAGGCCATAGCTGAACGTGGGGGGGTTCGTATTTCTCGTCGAGTGTACAGTGTCTGGAATGCCTTGCCTGAACAGGTGGTGAGGTGGGTCCCAGTAAAAGGGCTAATTCAAGATATAACAATACACAAAGATATCAGTAATATATCAAAAAGGATTAACACTAAAAACCTAAGTGGCTGTCTATTGGTAAAGTAGATGACAAATTACAATTACAATAGAAATGGTATACTAAGCAACAAAATGATAACAATTGTTATGAAATGAATGTTAGTTGTAAGCTGCTCTCTGAAATAAAAAACACAAATAAGTTCACTTGATTAACAAAGATTCCTCTGCACGTGGTGAAATCAACATCGTAATGAGAAAGATTAAATCTAACAGTATTATTTAATAGTTATTCGGGTCAACATTCCAACATAGTGTGTGAAGGCCCAAATGGATGTCATAACACTATTATAATCTTCAATCAAAGGCGGTGGCCAATAAAGCAGAAGAACAGATGGCTGAGACAGCGTTTATATTTTAACATTCGTAGTAGCATACGTAAATAACCAAACAATTATATACGCTTCTTTGCAAATGATACGGAGAAATAATGGATATTGAATACAATTGTGGTTTTTTTGTCGCCGCAAAAATCATTGAATATACATGTCACAATAATGTATCTGCCCAATCATTGGACCTCTTCAAAGAAAAGATGAACCTCCCTCGGAAAGCACGCTGCAAGGATTATCACAGGTCTATCAACTTACTATCCACATTGCTGAAGACTGATAATTATATTGGAGATCGGTTTTAGGGCGGTAACTCGAATACTAGTTGTACGTCTAATTACACGTATATTTTTGTAAGGTTATCGCGTCTATTCTGTTCCTTATCTTCAAGCAAAAAAGTCGTCATCCACTCCCAAAAGGCGTTAGTCTTATTAGTTTTTGAATGTTTTTCATTCTTTAGGCTGTGGGATTTCGTATGAAAAATTTCCAGCATCAGTTGTAGACAAATTACATAGTACTTCAACACGCGTCTTGATTCAAAGTTATATAAATTGTATAAACATGCCTGGGAATGACCTGTCTGATATGTTCAACAGCATTCCTCCTGTCACCCGTTATTGGTTCTCGGGGACAATATTATTTTCACTCCTCGGTAAATTTAATATTATTGATCCCATGCGCATGATTTTGTTGTGGAGCAGAATGTATTCCCACTTCGAGGTTTGCTGCTTATATAGTTTACCTTTTCATAGATATGGAGGCCAGTCACAGCTTTGTTGTTCTATCCAGTATCCCCATCAACTGGATTTCACTTCCTAATCAATCTTTACTTCTTGTATTCATACTCCTCTCGATTAGAGAATGGTTAGTTTATTTAATTTCAATCTTATTTTTAGGTATGTTCCTCGGACGCACTGCAGATTATGTATTTATGTTTTTGTTCACTTGGCTAGCACTGGTGGTATCCTTTATCTGTAGTACTATTTTACCATTCTAACGAAATTTGTAACACACTGTTATACAGTGACATTTTGTGTTTTAAGTCGACGTAAGACGGATTTTCCCCTCAAATCTGTGCCGTTCTTTTGTTTAAAAGTAATCGGTTATTACTTCAAAATTGGACTCACTAATTTGCATAAAGATAACTTGAATTATGTTTCATACTTCGTCATACTGGTTAGCTGGTGAGTTTAGTTGGGATTGCAACACTTGCGAAAACAAGTGTTTTCTGCCAAAATTATAAGTAGCGAATTTTAATGAAGCATGCGTCTCCATCGTTAGTTGCTGAACTGTGACAGTTGAGTTAAATGTCGTTGAATTCTCTCAATTTATTTGGATGGACCCCAGTCAATGGTTATGAAGTTCAATTCATGGGGTTCCTAATAAAAGTCAGTTCAATTATTATAAATTATCCAGTGGTTGTGAAAATATTTGTTAATATTCACAAGATTTTCTTAACTGATCAACAGATTGTCAGTTTCTTGGCTTCATTTTACGTAAGTTAAATACCAGGGTTTACTTATCATAATTTTGTTAGTTCATATTTCACTCATATTTACAAGACTTTTTTGTCTATTTAATCTTAAAATATATTGATTACCACATAAATGTAATGGCATGTAAACGATAATGTTTTTCAGTATGGGGATTTGTATAGATTGTGGTATTTTCATAGTTAAATCCACAAGTTGATCTAAGCTAAACCACCACTGAAAACCTAGAAGCACTGGACAGCCGTTTGGTCCTAGTACAGAACTCAGCAGTGCTCATCCACGGTCCTGTACGCGGGACTCCAACTGGCCAGAGGGCCTGGGTGCGAGTTCACACACCAATTTTGTGTACCTTGATCAGTGGCTCTACTATGTAGATGTTGTTCTTACAATCACTGATTAGAGACATCTATTAGTGGCTTTAACTGTATATTTTACCTAGAAATGAATTCTGGTGAAAAAATTACGACTATGTAATAGAACTTACGGAAACAGGGACTATACGGAAATTTTAAATGACGAGTGCATATAGAAAAGTCGTTTATGCTCAAGTTTCATACAGAACTTTCTAAGCCAAACAAGATTCACTGCAACATTTCTAGTAACATAAATCGATATAGTAAACTGACCATTAACTTTACACCTGCGCAAAAATTACGTCTATAAAACTGGGAAGAGCCTATCTCTGCAGTCGCTCTTGACGGCGAACAGTTAAGAGTAGTCCAAAAGTTCGTATATTTTGGGTAGTCATATGAGTACTGATATTGGCGTGAGTGATGAGGTCATTCGCATGCTCACAATCACATACGACGTAGAGCCTTAAACATACATGTGTTGAATCAAATTGTCATACTACAGCACAGCAAGTTGAAATCCTGAAATTAGCAACTACTTCATTAGTGGTAGAGAGGATTTTAAAAAGGTGTACGAGATTTCCGGCTTCAGAAAATAAGGAATTATTAAGAGTGGGTGTACCTGCTCCATTCATAGTGACTGAGCCATTTTACCCAAAGTCTAGCTGTCGGTTGACTTATTCATTTAAACACAAGTATTGACACAAAGGGGCACCTAAATATATTTGTGCTACACAACAATATACTGTAAAGAGACAAAGGTGATTATAATGAAAAAGAACAATAAATAGAAATTAGTGTGAGTTAAATACTAATAGTAGAAGCAGTTCGGTTAGGAAAAATACGACCAGAAAACATTCTTTCATTTAAAGAAGTTGCTTTCACTTTTATGAAGAAAGTTACAACAGGTCCGCCACGGGCTTTATTTTAAGCCATGTCTGGTAGTTTCTCAAGCTACTGTGTTTCACTATCTCTAGGCTCTTAATCAGAGAGTCACGGGGAACCGACAGGCCTCATTCCTGTTTAGCTTTCTTCCATACCGCGACACCATGTCACACTGGCTGCCTTTTCTAACTAGTCCCAGCATCGGAAAATAATTCACGATGTGGAATTCGCCCGACCGTAGCTGCTACCTTGACGTGGTGGTCGGGCTTGCCTATCGTGATGACCCAACCGAGCTATATTGGCTGGAAAACATGTTCCTGAAGGTTCTACCATGCCAGGCAGGTCGATTGGGGAACGTTAAGACTAAAAGCAGCAACTCAGGGTCTGATGGCGAAGTCGTACTGCTGACTGTACAGAGGTGTGACAGCAGTAAGGTGTTTCCCTCGGACAACCAGCATCTGCAGCGATGCTGCCTTCTCACAAGGAAGGAAGGGGTTAGAAAAGGTCAACCCTAAAAATGTCACACCTCACCTTACCCCACGGACTTCCGTCTCCGACGGTAAGGCCCTTTGAACAACGGAGCTAACACATTAAAAACCTCCCACAAAAAGGCCGTGCGCGACCGGCCTCAAGCAGTTGTCCCTTGGGCTCTGCGGTCACGCACCCAGGTCGCTAAAACCAACACTAATCCGATTTCCTTTTCAGGTTCCTCAAGAAATACCCTTCCACGGTGTGGGCAGCCTGGAAGTGATATCAGCCCTTATACCCGTAACAGCAGACGAGACCAAGTTGGTCACATTCAAATCCTCCCTACACCTAATAACTCTCTTATCTCCACGACTAACCCTTCTCACATCCCTTTATCACCTCGCCCCTCTAGTGCAAACGATTCGAGTACGCGGAATGTTATTCCTGGTCTCCTGAAACCACGCTCCAAACTACACGTAGGAGCTTTCAACGTCCGAACACTGTGCCAAATAGGTCAACAGGCTTCCTCAGCTAGGACTTTAGAATCTCGCGCCATCGATGTGTGCTGCGTCTCCGAAACGCGCATACAGGATCCAAGTAGTGTCATTCATTTGACCTCACCATGTCAAAGTAACGAACCAACTCGATTTACGCTTCGTGTATCTGAAAGCCCTGATGCTGCTTCCCGTGACCCTAATGTTCTCTATCACTACCTCTTCCACTACGGGATTTGAATCGATAACTAAATCTCTGTGCTAATGTGGCATGGCAACTCTAACTGTTGTACGTACGTACGAAGTTCCACGTTGTTACTGACTGACCGAATGCGCTTGGATGACCATCGTAGTATGTGTCGAAGTCATCTAAGTTAATGTTTCAAGACGGTGACAGCAATTGGATTATCGTCACTGTGCCAGGATACGTTGCCGAACCTCTGCATTACTAACATGGTGTTGTCACTGAATATCAGCAATCCGTCGGAGACAACGGTGATCAAACACAGAGAGTTGCCTAACCTCAATTCGAATAAGCGTGGAACATAACTGCTTCCACCGACTTGTGGGTCCGACCTTTTTAGTCAGATTGACATCACAAAGGTGGCTCAGGTTAGTATAAGCCGCTCCGGCCTTCGCTATATATGACCAGCCAAAATTTTTCTCGAAGAACTGGCGATCGTTGAAGACGTCGATAAATATGATTGATTGGCTGAGTCGACAAAGCTGCCTCCAACATTAGCATTCTCTGACAACCAAGCTCCTCTCTTCTTGAACAGACTTTGTACAATATTTTAGATACCATAATTGTCAAATTGATTCCTCTACAATTATCAAAAGAGGATTTTTATCCTCCCCTATAATTTAGAACGACCAGTGATTTAGACTGGTCAAATGGAATTACGTCCAGTTTTCAAAATCTAGCCAAGAACTTAACCGCTTAAGTCAGTCAGTAACAACGTGGAACTTCGTACGTACGTACAACAGTTCGAGTTGCCATACCAAATTAGCACAGAGATTCAGTTATCGATTCAAATCCCATAGTGGTAGAGGTAGTGATAGGGAACATTAGGGTTTGAAGATGTTATTTAAGGAGTATAGTCCAGTGGAATAGATTTGGAAAGAAAATAAAGGACATGAAGAATACAGAAGATTAGATGAAGTTTTGTTCTCTGAGCTGGATGGTTTGGTCGTGGAGCTTTCATCGTTCTTCTGAACAACATCATCAGCACAAACTTCAGATAGAAGTGAAGTGTTCGAATTTCTCCATATGTGCACCTCGAGGTGCACAGAACAAGTTGTGAAACGCATATGGAGAAATTCAAACACTTCACTTAAATCTGAAGTTTGTGCTGATGATGTCGTTCAGAAGAACGATGAAAGCTCCACGACCAAACCATCCAGTTCAGAGAACAAAACTCCATCAAAATCATCCACCTGAGCTACAAATCTTCTCCACCATCACAGAAGATTAGAGTTTGAGAGAACACAGAGAGTGGATTCACCTGCACACACCAATGCAAACGATTTTGAGCCATGTCATTCAAGGTCTCTAACCATCGGTTGCTATAATCTCGCGGTCCCAAACCAAGTAGTCTACATCTACCAACATGGCTCAGTCCACTTGTCAGTGACTTCATGGATTTGTGCCATGTTTTGGTCTGGCCGCCCCTAGCTTTCTTCCAACCTATTCCTACACCAGAAAACATCGCACGTCGGGGTAGTCGGTGGTCGGGCATGCGCAACACATGTCCCAGCCATCTCAACTGATTAAGTTTCACTACTTCATCAATTGATTTGCCATTCTTACCTAGTACCCGTTTCCGACCAACTAATTTACTTACTCGGTGGTCCCAGGATATACGAGCAATGTTTCGAAGACACCTATGATCAAATACTAGTAACCTACGAATATCCTCTACTCTTACTGGCCATGTTTCACTGATATAAAGTAGGACGGAACGAACTGCTGCACAGTAAACACGTCCTTTGGTTGATAGACGGATATCTCGCCTACGCTACAAATGACGCAAGTTGGCAAAAGCTAGTCGAGCCTTCTGTATCCGTGCTGAGATTTCGTCACACACCAGATCACAAGGGCTGATGAGACTTCCGAAATAAGTGAAGCGGTCGACACGTTCAACTACGTCATTCCCTATCACTAGTTCGGGTGTCGACGCAACCCAATCATGAAGCAACATTTTGCATTTCGAGGGAGAAAATCGCATGCCGAACATGCGCCTAAAGTGGACTGCTATCCCTAAAGATCTCCAGAGTTAATTGCACAGGGACTTGTTACTCTTTCTCACTATAGACCAACTATAGTCTTTTCAACCTCCGTAAGAATTGCGGGTCTTGTATCAATTTACTATGCAGGTTGTTTGGAGATGGTTAAGTAAAGAGTAGCTTGAGACCAGTTGAACTGCTATCCAAAATGTCCTCTCCATATGTTTAATCTCCCGTATTGAGAGTAAATAATAGTCTCATCTTTTTCCAAAATAGTCTCGCTAACAGCCTTATTTTTACACCTTGAGTAGTTTAAATAGTTGCCTACTGTAGTCTATCGCCGTTGCCTTTTCCACTTTTTGTTTTCACTGCCTTCCTCGATTAAGTACGCTTGTTGTCAATTTAGGTTTAGTGTTTCCAGAGTCTAGTGGAATGAATTTCCGAGCATCTGCTCATTCAGTATACACTACAAAAATCCATTGGTGCTTGTTAAATTTATGGTTTAAGTCATCGATAAATGTTAATAATGTTTCTTTATCTGTTTGAGAATCATGCTAGACTACATTGGGGTGAACGTTACTCTCGTGGTTGACTTACCGCTTCTGTAGTTGTTCTTAAAATACACTCTTGACTTTTTCATCGTAAAACTGAACTCTTGTTGTGACTTTCCTGCGTCCAGTAAAACGAAGGCAAACTCGTGCTTGCATTATGACATGATCAGAGTCAAAACATGTACTACAGAATTAGCGGCAGTCTTCTACTTAGCCTCCCTAATGATGTCTGAGGGCAATGTAGTCTATCTAGGCTCATCAATAGGTTTATTTTTGGGGTTGCCACTTTAGACAGTGTCTTTCCATATGCATAAATTTACTGTCTTCTATAAATAAGCGGTTATTTGAGCATAGTTACACCAAACCGTCATCATTGTCTGTTCACTGAGCTGCGACACCGTAATATACACCCTAATGCCTTTCAGTTTGAATATCAACTGGATTAAATTAGAAATAACTACATTTAATATGCAAATTAACCCCCATGATATACTTCGCATTTTCTTCATAATCTTCAGATTTATGGTAGCTGCTTTCAATCCCATTAGTTATCTCAAGTAGTTTTTCTAATGTGTAAATCAAATCTTCAGTGTATCAGTCGTGAAACTAAACAATAAACTGTCATTATAACGGTCATAGATAACTTGGTTGAATACTAACTATGAGTCGATAGTTCTTTATTATGTTTGACGTGAACTTAAGTTGATTATAGAGAACAATTTCAGTCAAAAAGTATTTAACAGTTACTACAACATTATACCATGTAGTAATTTGTACTACAATGTTTCCCATAAAACTAGGTGCTTCTGGAGCCAATGGTACTTACAGTGCTTTATATATGGAGTCAATTAAATCGTGATGTTATTGTTCAATTTTGGTTTGGTATGCAGTTCAAAGCAATGTACTTTCCGTGGGTCTTGGTAATATTTAACTTAATAGTGCGTGGGAGGTTAGTCTGTGTTTGTTTTATAACCAAAATTTTATTTGTAACTTCAGTGCAATGATGGAACTGGTTGGAATAATCGTTGGACATCTTTACTACTTTTTCGTTTTCCAGTATCCCCAAGAGTATGGTGGTCAAGCTATATTAAAGACTCCTGGATTTCTGTAAGTAATTTTTCCATGTAGATACTGTATGTAATGTTCAACTGAATTCATATTGTAGTCACTATATGATTACTGATGTTAAATTTAACTTGGATTGAAAAGCCCTGGAGAATCATTAACCAGTAAGACGTAGTTCATAAACCTTTGTACTTGAAAGGATGAATCAGAAGTTAAAGCGCAAGACTGGTATATTCAAGCACGCCACTCTTATATCCTCGAGTGTGTTTGTCAAAAGTGAAAACACAAAGTGATATTTTAGTACGCCATTCCATCAAAAGTATATTTCATTGAGTCAAAGAAGCAGACTACAGTTTTTTTATCCTAACACTTAGCGCCCCCTATGTACTAGTGCAAGATAATCCAACCGCGTTCCGAAGCCTAAAGTTAATGAAATTTGACTTTTTCATACAAATGCTAACGAACCACTTATTCTTTTTAAGTTCGGATCTTTAGTTACACTATGTTTTATTTAAAGAAACTACTGTACAGAAACGTTTTGTAACTTCAGTGTTAATTAATATGTGTGGAAACCTTTATTTATTTATTTATTTTAACACATAGATGTTGGTACAAAGAGGCACCAAATACATATGCGCCACACGAATCTCAATTGATATTTGTGAGGGCTGTGATACTGCCCGGGTGCCCAAACCGAAGCAGGTGTTTTTCTTAAGGGGCCACACCCCGAGCCTTCGACCTGAACGTCTGACCCACAAGGCAGTGGAGCATCGTGAGGAGATGCAGTCCCATAGTAGCCGGTGACCAACGATTGGTTCATACGCCATTTGTTCCTTCAGGATACTGGAGCCGGCCCATGTGCACCATTGGTTTGGGATCCGGTTAAAGCCGGTGCCGGACATTCGCTTTTCGTCCTCTCATTTTAGTAAACAACACCCGTGATGCGAGAAGGCATTGAGTAGGACTTCCCTGGCAGGGGCTGTATACGTGTGGCCATGTGAGAGCATTTCAGGAGGGAGAGCGGACTCCCTCCACTCTCGGCCATACCAGGGCATTTGGGGGCACATACATATGCTGAGTAACTACGACCTGAAATCTGAGTATCTCAATTGTGTGCTTCACTATAGTTGTTGAAAATCTCTTTATTGTGATGTTAAAACCCAATTTATTTAGACTTGCTGAATCATTTACTTATTAGTACTTATTAGTCATCTGAATAATTGAAAAAAAATATCGAACTCGATTTCGTTATACTTTAGATCGACTGATTCTGGTTGATCTAATTTGAATTAAAAGTAATTTTTTTTACCTGTGCATAAAATTGTTACTGTTTTAAGCGACATTATTAAATAAACAGAAAAATCTTATGAAATGCCATATATCATACTGTTGTTGAAAAATTATGAATAATTCCCACCTAATATATTACTGTAATTCGATGATTTAACCGCATCCTAGAGGAATGAATAATAGTCAGCATTGTATGAACATCCAAACATACTTAATGCACGTGAGTAACATGTCTATGGAAGATTAACAGTCCTTCAATCATTAGTTTGCTGGATTCAAATTATTTCTTACACTTATCAGAATAGTTTCACTTTCATTTAATATCAGGTAATTTTACATTCTATCTAGCAATTATTTTGTTAAATTGTTCCTATCTCTTGTTTGGACAGTTGTGTTAAGTACTCCAAGATTGAAATCAATTTATTATTTTTGTTCCACAGATATAGACTATTTCCAAACCAAAGGGGTATTACAACTGGTTTTGGGGAAGCCCCACGCGCAAGACAACCAACCACAACTACGGGAAGATTTCCTGGACACGGTCGGGTTTTGGGAAACGATGAATAATACTCAGTTTTCTTCTTGACCAATCTGTATATCAGAGTAAATCGAATAAAAAACTTATCACTCTCCAATCTATTGCTGATACTGGTTTAGAAAAAATTAACAGTCAATACGTTGCAAATATTCTATTCATACAGGTTCAGAAATTATAACTGCCTATTAGACTTGCAAAGGGTATAACATATATAAGTGCCACTACCTCAGACGAGAATTTGAGTTCGCCAATTTTAGTTTTTGGTGTAAGACTAGTGGCTACCTTATTGATACACTAATCAGTGCCTTCAGATTGCTTTTGTTCTCCAAGTCTACTTTTAAAAATGACCGTGTTGAGAACCCCTGATAAGATATCATGAACACTGAGTAGCTCAAACTTCTACCCATGGTTGCTAACGCTGTCTCATTTCTGGAACTATTAACTAAATTAAATGGCACATCCTCTTAAAATGAATGTCACAGGATAACTACAGTGGTAGCTTCATCGTGTTCGTTGGATTGTGCGGAAAGTTGTTTTATTATTCTATTCGGCTTAAGTTAATTATTAAGTTGTGAGAACATTTAATACTTCCGGTTGACGTAATCTTCGATTTCACCTGGCCTGCGGTTGATGAAAGCACAGCTGGAGACGAGGAACAGAACGGTTTGTACAATGCATTTTTCCAGATAGCACAGAAACAATTGGAATCTGATCCAAAGTCCTGATTTTGTCTTTAGGCATTCGGAGTACCTCGTTATGATCCTTGATATTCAGATAACCGGACGATGAATGGGACCAGTTGTGAAATGAAATGCCGCCCTAGGATCCTGTATTACAGTTTAACAGACAAGGCACACCCCATGACAACGGGTTCTAAAGTCTCGACTCTCTGCTCGAGTTGACATAGACTATAAAAAAATTTTTGTCAAGGAAATCTAAAAAATCCAAGTGACTTAGTTATTTGTCACGGAGTACGAACAGTGTTTAGGAAGCAACCTTCTCGGGCTGGTTGTATTAACTATGTTCTGTACATAAGCTGGAATACGTTGAGCATTGTGTTGCCTATTTTTGGTGCCAAACTTCATCCTTAATTCCGTTAAGCATCAAAGCTAAAAATATTTGGTTATCATTGTGAAAATTTACTGTCTCCACAGCCTAGTTGATTCTGCAACTTCACCCTAGCATTTTTTAGGTCTGTGAACCTCGTGGCTTAGACTATGGGAACTTACCGACCTATCCCAGGTAGCTAAGTTGGATGTTAATGACAGAATGGACTTAGCCACTGCTTCGATGTTCAACGATAAGGACAGGGAACCGTTCCCTATGGTAACACCTATGTCGAGGAATGTTTAAGCAGTGTAAACTAGGATTCAATCATTGGTACGACGTTGGAGTATTAACCCAGTTGGCTTACGGAATATCACCGTCTGACATTAGACTTGAGTGCCGAAAATAACAGGTTATATACGACCCGGGACTGCGTAAATATTAATTGGATTGTTTCATCAAGTCCTTCAGGTTTCTTGATCTTTTCTTGTTTTAACAATATGGAAGCGTCCGAATCCATTACTGCAAAATGATAATTTCCAAACTTTACAGTCTTTGATGTATACGTGGTTCTGTTTGTAGTTCCAGAAAGTTAAACCCCACCTAGTAAAATATAATACTCTTCCAAATAGGGAACATCCTATTGCCGTCGATATCTATCAAATCCATGATAATTTTTGTATGGAACTACCGCCGTAGGTAGGGTCAATAAGTCAATGCAGTAAACTTAAATGTGCTCCACTTATCTTAGTCTTCTTGTACCTGTCTTTGGTTACAACTAGTTTTAGAAGAGCCACATACGCAAAGCGGAGTATTTAGAGTGAATTCGAACCTGAAACATTATTCAGCACATACAACATAGTTTTATACGGTATGATTCTGCCAAAAAAGTAAAATCAGAAGGCGCATACTAGGTCAGATTTCACTGAAACTAGGGGTGATACTGTCATGATATTTCTAACATACCAAATGCTACATCTTCAAAACTAATAAGAGAACATCTCCAGATTTGACAGTTCAGAGGCAAAGTACTTTAGCACTGGCATACTATTTTCTAATTGAACCAATATGTTAATCGGCACCACTGGTAACTAAAATTTGAATGACTTAGCTGATGTTCGAAGTTTGGAAATGAAATCCGAAGCAGAACTCAACTAAACACCCACAATTCAAAACAGATATAAACCTAACTATCATAATCTGTGTAAAAATTCGCATGTAAGCCAAGTTAATGGAAAAAAGTTTAAGTAAGCCAATTTGTATAATTATGACCCCATAAATATGAAAGAGGCCATTAAAAACGTATTAAGTGCAAGATTTGTATAGGATTAGATTAAATTTAAAGACAATAAGGATTCAAATTTAAATGAGATCAAAAGAAATCAAAGAAGCACAAATGAGAGCACTTCAAAGATTTATTTTTAATTTGCACTGACTTTTTCATTTTGTAGCTACGAAAAAAAAAACTCAGCTGTGGAAGATATTAGAAAAAAAAAAAGTACAAATCCTTACAGAAATGAGATTGTCTGTAACAAGTTGAAACATCTAAGCACAATTACTGACAAGCTGAAAAATGAAGTTAATATTATTATAAGTAAATCTAGCCAATTACATGAAAGTGTGGCTGTACAGAGAACACAAGTGAAGAAGAAATATTGAAACCACTTGAATTGACTAAAATGAAAAGCATATCCCGTCCACTTTCAATAGAGAAATCTATCACAACATGAACACAAAATTCATTAGTAAACGGGATTTTTCAATACAACAACATTGTGCGTTCTTCTATAATTAACAATAAAAATCCAATAATATAAGGGCATTCATTTAAGTGAAATCAACCGGAAAATAAGTAATATTATAAGCTTAAAAAATATATAGAATTTAGACAAATCAAAATGAGGAAAAATTACAGAATTGCAAAACTACATGATAGTATATATTATCATTAAGATTTAAAACTAAAAAGAAAGACAAAAGTTATTCACTTTAAACAAAACAAAAAAAAAAAACAAGTTTGCAATTTCATATATATGATTAATTCATATGTTTGTATAATTAACTAACTAAAGATAATTCTTAATTAAACATATGAAACATAGATACTACTAATTATGAAATATTATTGTGTATACATTCAAGGGAATAATAGATTTGTAAACACGAACATATTTATCAACTGAAATACAATACAATACAATACAATTTTATATTACGATGATAAAATCTAAATTGAATTAGAAAGGATATAACGAACTAATAGATATTTAAACAGACACGATTTTTCTTTAAAAAAAAAAAAAAAGAAAAAAGAAAGAAAGAAAAAAAGAACAATTCCGTTTAATCATGAATTATTCGACAGGATAGTCATGCTTTCAAAACATAAGAGAATCACCATAAAGAATAAAGCAATAGTAATGAGATGATTAAAATAAAAAGGATTGAGAAATTAAAATTTCATTGATAAGTTAGAGATTCAGATAAATATACGAATATCTGAGATGGTGTATTACAAATAAGTTTTGTTTTTGTTTTTTGTTTTTTTTTTTTTGTTGTTGTTGTTTTGAAAATATGATATTGTTTTTTATTATCCCGTATATGTATAAGTTGGTTTTGCAGTGCTTGGTCTTCAAATGCAGTTTAACAAAGATAGTTAGGTTTTTTTTTGAAATGGAGTAAAATATATTCAACTATATTCGATGCACTGGATAATAAATTTAATTATAATTCATTATGAGATAGTATTCACAAACGTTGGGGTTTTAAAACAGTATACACCCCCAAAAATATATATATATATATATATGGAAGAACAAAAATCAGATTTGGGGCCTACAAAATATGTTCCTAGAGTAATTCATACTGCCGTAGGTGCATTCGTTGAATGATATCGCGACAATCATTGAATACACGTCGAATGTTTTCTGTATCAACTGCACATGTTAAGTGAGGATAACAATAATGACGTCCACCATTGTTATTTGATGTGACTTTCTAGAAGTATGAAAGTAAAATATAGACAACATGAAGTTATAATAATTTTAAGAAAATTCATTTCAAAAATTAATATGAAAGTTTAACTGAATGGTCAAAATTACAAACAATAGAATGTTTCTGTCAGTTTTACAAAGCATGAAATAATTGATTTTACATCCAGAACACTTAGATGAGAATTAATGACGAGTGGGTAGCTTTGAAGTTATGATCAGTTAGTGAATAAAGTAAAATTAGCATAGACTATTAGGATTTTGAATTATAGATTAATAAAAAATCAGAATGACTTACAAGAAACTCATCGCGGAAGAAAAATCGGGCACGTATAACTTCAGAATTTTCATGACGATACTCTGCCAGAGCTGTACAAGAGAGAACAATACTTAAGATATCTTATTGATAAGCTAGAAATTTATGCAACTACGATAGAAATTTAATATACTTACCATGTTAAAAGAATATGACGTCCCCAAATTATGAAAGTAATACAATGTCTCTGTTATGAATGAATAGATAAAAACATTAAGACGAACTTCCTCATACTTAGGTAGACTATAAGACCTCCGAAAAAAGTGAAAAAGCTGTTCATGATCACAAATCATAATGACAGTAAAAAATGATCAAACATTACCATACAAATTTAGTAGACGAAATTATATGCTGCAAGACTCGTGAAGTTGATTTTCATGAGTGAGAAGAACCAATGTTCGTATAATTATTTAGAAGTACTACTGTAAAACTATCGAAATGTGAAATGATAAAACGAAATGACTTCATGCTTCCCGCAAATTTTATTTCACTACAAACAACATGGTTTATAAACACGAATCAACAATCCTAATATATTTGTTAGTCAGTCAAATCTAACGTAGGATTTGGGACAATTTTGCATCAGTTAAACTACTCACACCACACTAGCACAGCGAGATGAAACTATCAAGACAAATCTCTAAGTACCAGAAGCAGTAAAAAAGATTAGGGACATATGCGATTTGAGAAGACAATATAGATGCCCCCAAATGCCCTTGTAAGGCCGAGAGTGGGAAGAGTTCGCTCTCCCTCCTGAAATGCTCTCACATGGTCACGCGTATATAGCCTCTGACAGAGAAGTCATACTCACTGCCTTCTCGCATCACGGGTGTTGCTTATTAAAATGAGAGGACGAAAAGCGAATGTCCAGCGCTTTAACCGGATCCGAAACCAATGGTGCACATGGGCCGGCTCCAGTATCCTGAAGGAACAAATGGCGTATGAACCAATCGTTGGTCACCGGCTACCATGGGACTGCATCTCCTCACAATGCTCCACTGCCTTGTGGGTCAGACGTTCAGGTCGAAGGCTCGGGGTGTGGTCTCCTAAGAAAACCACCTGCTTCGGTTTGGGCACCCGGGCAGTATCATAGCCCTCACAAATATCAATTGAGATTCGTGTGGCACATATGTATTTGGTGCCTCCTTGTACTAATATCTATGTGTTAAAATAAATAAATAATAAATAGACAATACAGATTAGTAGACTACCAAAGTTCAAGGATGTTTTTTGTGTAAATATATCAGCTTCTGGAGTAACTAATGGTATATTAGAACCCTAACATTTCTAATAAGAGTATTTAGTAAGTTCAGTCATATGGATCATGAATAAAATTACTTCGTAAAATCAATTTTCGAAATCTGACATGACTAAACTTAAGATGACTGATACCAGGAACATTAAATCTTTATTACTATTACTGAAGCGAAGGGTAAAGGAGATGATTAATTGAAAATTACTTATTGTTAATCAAAAGTATGCTCTCCATACTCATATGGTGGAATGGTAACCTGGCTATTAAAGCAATTAAGTTTGAGCCTATTTCATTTACTTTGGTTTAGGAAAAAACGTGTTATCACTAGCCCACGCTTAACTAGTAAAAGACAAAGTCGAGTGCATAAATTTCTACTTGATATGTGAGTTACACTAATTGCAATTACAGATTCCATATCGTAGAATAATTATACTTAAGAATAACAACAATCTAAAATTGTTTCGCGACAAATTAAACACTTACTGCAGACATTAACTGTTGTAATCAAACACAATAAATCGTAATCAGACCTTCTTATTTGTCTGGTACTTTGCAAAACCATGGCTGTTGTTTGTTTAGAGAAAGTTGTCACTTCTCAAAAAATGACATGCCACTAGTCTAGTCATGGAAATAGTTGATGAAAATAACAGATCCTTGCCAGGAAATCATATTAAAATACATACTAAAATAGTTTGAATAACTATTACCTTATATATAACAATATTACCTAGTGAAACAATGGGAAACCCAAATGAAACATTAACGGTTATTTTATGACTTGGTATTAGCATATACAAGGTATTCAAGTGAAGCAAAAATGAATGATTTAGATCATGGTCACAATCTGCATAAAAACATGTTTCATAATGCGGTCTCAAAATAAAATGTTTCTTAGTGAATTATGAAAATTCCTAGTCACATATCTTTAGAGCTGTCGATAAACTAAAAGGAAAAACAAATCAGAACGCTAAAAACTGAGGAAAAGACCAATAAATCTTACTATCAGCTGGAGCTTGGTAAGTAGCATAATGCGGGAAATAGACTTCAATCTTGGACTTGCCAGCTAAGACCTTCTCCGTAAGTAGATCTTGCTTGTTAAGAAAGAGAATCACAGATATGTTTCGCAACCATCTGTAAAGAATAATACGAGAAAATATAAGCTGCTAGTTAGCTGAAGTAACAATAACTAGGAATTTAAAGCAATTAGTCCCTTTGATACATTTCGATAGTACAAAGTTGCATTGGTTTGTACTTGATACTTTTCTCTTTGCAACTATGTATTTTACGTTTAGTTTGTCTCTACCGAGTCGGAGAAAGTGTTATATTTCTTTGACAGTTTTAGGTGGTAAGAAGAAAGACCAATTTATTCCCCAGTTATTTCGATAGTGTAATCAGAAAACGAAGATTATTAGAATTATGTGATATATTAGCAAGGAAACAGCAATGTTCATGCTTCATCGGAAACGACTGCATCATTACTCACTGTGTACCAATTTAAGTGTGTGTGGTCACACATACATAGGGAGGAGTAATCGTGATCTCAAAATTAGAGTGCGTGAATATGTACCTAAATGGTTGCAGAAACAAATAGAATCGAATGACCCAATAAGAGTACAGGATAAATATCTATCATCCTCTGTTGCCAAACACATAATTGAAACAGGTCATGAGATTTATACGAATATTTGTCAAGATTAGAACGAATAGTTTGACAGAAATTGGGCGCCGAGTATAGAGAAGTCATTATATGTGCAAAATTATTTTTGAAATAATCTCAGCGATTGAAATTTATATAATTCCAACGTTTCGTCCAGCTAACTTGTCTGGACTTCTTCAGGGTAATAATCAAAATCATCAAAGAAATATACAGCTTTTAACAATCATAACTATACCAATCGAATTTGAATGTTGAGTTCTGTATATTAGGATAAAATGAGTCAGTTAACTACAAATCAGGTGATTGTTAAGACCTATGTATTTCTTTGATGATTTTGATTATTACCCTGAAGAAGTCCAGACAAGTTAGCTGGACGAAACGTTGGAATTATTTAAATTTCAAGTCGCTGAGATTATTTCAAATATAATTTTTACATATAAGGTCATAAGACTAATCTTAACTCAGCTTTTGTTGTATTGTACAAAAAAGTAAAAGGGTGTAAACTAAGTTTTATTGAAGTCTTAACTATACGAAAATTTAAACCCATTCTGTGTATTCAAAAACAGTGTGTTCTCACCTTAAACCTACCCTGGTAATATTACCTTATTACCCAGAGTGATGAGATTCCAAAGTGTTTTCACATTATTTTCTTTATTATACTTGTCTCCTCTTACCCCCCATTTCTAGCCTAGTTGACCTTTTATTTTCTTTATACATAAATGTTCCTAACAAGTATGTGTAATCAGATTGTTCAAAATGTATTGCGCTAATATATCACATGGTTCTGATAATCTTCGTTTTCTGATTACACTATCGAAATAACTGGGGAATAAATTGGTCTTTCTTCTTACCACCTAAAACTATCAAAGAAATATAACACTTTCTCCGACTCGGTAGAGACAAACTAAACCTAAAACACATAGTTGCAAAGAGAAAAGTATCAAGTACAAAGCAATGTAACTTTGTTTAAAATCTAAATGAGTGGAGAACATCATAAAACACAAGTGCTAAAGCATATTTACACAGAGAATTAAATATATTGAAAAAACATAATGGAACAAAGCCTAACAAGATCCACTCAAAGATGAAACTACTGTGGAGAACAATTACAATGGGAGCATTACGGCTGACAAGGGGAAATACATGGAAAACCTAGCAACGACCGGAGAAAGGGCTGCTAGATAAGGAAGTGAAAGAGAACTACATAATACAACTCCGTACATCATAACGATCGCAGATGTGAATAGTGTCGCTGTGAATTCCGTAGTAGGCCTCAACATTCAAAATGGTGAAAGATCCCAAAATACGACACAGTGATCACCAACAAAATCACGCTTGATGGAGTAGCACTAGAAGAGATGGACACTCTCATGTACCTGAGCACCATCATTGACGAACAAAGGGTATCTGATGCAGATGTGAAGGCACTTAGTGACAAAGTATGCGTGGCATTCTTGCAACTGAAGTTCATATAGAATTAAAAACAACTGTCAGACAATATCAGTCAGTATCTTCAACACTAACGTTTAAATAGTTTGATTGTAACGGGCTGAAACTTGATAAGCCATGACCACCTCCATGACCAAAAAAGTACTAGTATCCAAAAAATGCTATCTACACAGGATACTCCAGACTCAGTAGCCACGGACGATCAGGAAAATCCTACCCCAGTAGAGAAAAAAATATATATTTGAGGAAATTAGGATAAGATGCTGAAGGTTTTATTTGTGTATTTAAACACATGAACATTAGTACAAGGTGGCACCATATATATGCGTCACACAAATGATTCAATTTGAGTAAAGTTTGGGTTACTACCCGGTAGCCAAGGCTGGTTTTCTTAGGCGGCCAAACCTCCAGCCTTCGATCTAGGTGCAATTCCCCTAGGTAGATCCTCTGTGTCCACTAACCCACTTGAGGCGCCGGACATTTGCTTCTCGTCCTTTCAATTTCTTAAATAGCATCCCAGCCGCGAGCAGACAGTTGGTGTATACACATGGCCATGTGAGTATTTTGAAAGGGACAGTGGACTCTCACCACCCTTGGCCGTACCAGGGCATTTGGAGATAGAATGCACCACGACAATCACCGAACTGCATCATAAAGTAAGCCCTAACGTCGAATCCCCAGGATGATAAATGCAGATCAAATAACATGCGGAAAAGGATATTTAGAGGACGGACAGCACTTAGCAACAATAAGCTCAGGAGACATTCAATAGGCGATTCTTGATCGGTGGCCTATGCCGCATAAGAGAGGTAACACACTTATGTATATAATCGGCCATTTCCTGTTAAACCGTACATTAAGATGCAGTAGTTTACGCTCTACTTACAGCTCACCGACTACAGAATATTGACGTTGAAATTTTTTTTTGGGGGGGTCAAACAAACTCAAACGCTTCTTTAACGAAAACCATAATCCGTATACGTATAGGACGTTTAAACGGAGTACAAGAAACATTTTCTGATGACGGTTAACGCATTTCCAAAAACCCGTATTTTGTATGCGATATAACGAAATGTACGTCTATGACCCACACGTAATTAATAGTTCGAGACTGAATTACATCGGTCAGAATCGTTCACCAGGCGACAGAAACATATACTCTCTCTGGTCCTTCTCATTGAGAGATTTTGAGTCATCTTATACTTTTTCATCCCACAAACTTGTTTCTTTTTTAGAATTATATATTCTATACATAATTTTTCTTACTACCACTGATACTCTCGATAATCCCACTACTCTAGGGTTTGTCTTGATAGCTCCATCTCCTTTGTGCATCCGGTACGGAAACTTTATCGCCTGAGACAATCTTGTTACATAACATTATAGCACTGTTAAAGACTGGAGGAAAAATCTGAAAACTCTTAGTGTATTTGAAACCCATTCAATTTGTGAAACTAATAGGATTAGTAGCCAGTGACCTAACATAATTGAAGGGACTACTTTAGTATTGCCGATGAACCCACCCGACTTTCGGACGCGTTATTCGGATACTTAACATACCAGTATTTCAAAATATGGTTGTGAAGACTGTTGAGCTCACTACTAAGATCATGGACCGAACAATGTAAAACCATCATTAGAAATCGTGAAGCACTTGGTGACCGTTTCGTCCTGGTATATGACTGCTCAGTAATGCGCATCCACTACCCTGTACGCCATACTAGAGCCTAGGATCTTCAGTGATGCGTGAACACCTAACCTCCACAGAGCTGAGCCAGCATCCAAAAGAGTTAGGGCGAAACGACCAATCAGTGCTTTTAGGTTTTCAATGATGTTCTGACGTTGGTCAGCTTATGATCTAAATATTTCAAAGTGATACTTTCAAAAATGTTGCATTATGTCGTTTAGTAAGCAACCACTTCGTCGAGATCACAAGCGTGCAAACACTGGACCTAGCATAACTATTTATTTATTTGAGTCAAAATATTCTAACTCAAGAAAAAGAACAGAGGGAAACCAAAGGAACCGCACTGGAAAAATAAAAGCATAAAGCAAAACCAAACAGGATAGCAATGATAAAGTAGTTCGATTTACAGAATAAATGGACGTACCCGAGAGCTTTCGAGACACCAACAGAGATTCCTACCAAAAACATAAAAATACTGTCGAGCTAAGAAGCAGCTAGTGTATAACCACGAAGTTGAGGTATTTTGGAGTGGAACGACTACCATTTGTTATGAACAACCGCACACTGCTTGATAGCCACCAAATGCCCTGGTAAGGCCGAGAGTGGGGAGAGTCCGCTCTTCCTCTCGAAATGCTCTCACATGGCCAAGCGTATATAGCCTCTGACAGAGAAGTCATACTCACTGCCTTCTCGCATCACGGGTGTTGTTTACGAAAATTAAAGGACGAAAAGCGAATGTTCGGCGCTTCAACCGGATCCCAAACCAATGGTGCACATGGGCTGGCTCCAGTATCCTGAAGGACCAAATGGCGTACGAACCAATCGTTGGTGACCGGCTACCATAGGACTGCATCTCCTCACGATGCCCCACTGCCTTGTGGGTCAGATCTTTACTTTAGGTCAAAGGCTACGGGTGTGACCCCCTAAGAAAACCTCCTTCTTCGGTCTGGACACCCGGGCAGTATCACAGCCCTCACACATGTCAAATGAGATCTGTGTGGCGCATATGTATTTGGTGCCTCCTTGTACCAATATCTATGTGTTAAAATAAATAAAATAAACACTACTTGATAAGACCAGTTTTGGGTCATGTTATTTGGGAATTAGGACTTCTACCATTAACTTTAATTATAACGCAGTGATCGGGAAACTGTTAGCCATATATTTATACATATTTCTTAACATTGATAAAAACGGAACTTAAAGTACAAATTTCTTAGACGCCCAATGAAACTCAGTGTCAACTAGCGTTATAAATCAGCTAAGCTGATGAGTTAGCTTACGCCAGCGTCTACTATAGTTACATATTAACTAATATTTCCAGTAGAATTTGTACTGATTAAAAGGACAACTACCTCACAAAAGTCTGAACAAACGCGGAAACAGCACAATGAACAGAGAATTCCACTTAGTTAGCTCTTTCTGCAATCAAACCCTGCGTTTTAAAACATATGGATGATTAATAAATCAATAAAAAATTAACTTTACTTATAATTATGGACCGGTTAGAATGCTAATAAAGCACTAGGTCTAAAGAGTTATGCAGACAAACCTGTTGTTCCATATGGAAGCAAGAAGTTCTAGAGACTCCTTTACACGGTTTTGGCTAGGGTCTTCACGTAAAACCATATTGTACGAAGAACAAGCAGCGACAAAAATGATTGCAGTGACATCGTTAAAGCACTGTATCCACTTTCGGCGCTCTTCCCTCTGCCCGCCGACGTCAAACATATGGAAATTAACTTTATCTACGCTGAACTTGGTTTCAAATATCCCGGAAGTTAGAACACGACAGCGTAGAATATCCTGTTCTGATGGGATGTAGTTTGGAGCACCAACCTCTAAAGCCTTGTCAAGGAAACTGGCAAACATTAAAAAAATCTTGACATACTATTTTGCACAGTCGATTAGTTGATATTCATTTGATCTTTCAAACGTCTCCTGTATGCCTCCATCCTTCCATAATTTGGCACAATATGTAAAGAACTCCTAGACAAATACACTACATAATAAATTAGTACCGTCGGATAGTCAAAATCAGGTTTAGATGCAGTTTCCAGTATATAATCCCTCAACTTTCTGTTTTCACCAAGTTCAAGCTCCACTGGTGGTTTCAAAGAACTCATAGCGCCAGCTATTGACTGACAAACATAAATGATGAGAGTAAACTTACACAAATAGCGTCACGGAGGTTTTTCCGGATTGCATCAATCTTTTCTTTCTTTTCTCTGACATAATTCATAACAAGGGTGAATCAAAACTTACCGTTCTGAAAAGCCATCTATGTGTAATATCCTCATTTGTTTAACAATGGTCGATTTCCCAGACTCTCCAGCACCTATCGCAGTTAAAAACAACCTAAAATTATCAAGCATACCCAGAAGGAGTAGTCTGTGTGTAGATTTAAAGTTCTTTTTCTCCTTTTCAATTAATTTCTCAATCTGTTTATTTGCATCACTTCGCGTTTTGGCATCTTCCGAAATATTATTTAGTGTGCAACAGCCAATAACCATTTTTGACTTTAAAAGGGATATTTATCGGAGTGACCGAGATAAGTAGAACAGCACTATACAATACATTACAATAATCCTACATGAGCTAGAGTCAATGAAGGCATCAAATAAGTCAGAAAGTGAAGTCAACAAACAAACAATTCAATTTTCAATATCCAACACTCATGTACACAGCTACACGTAATATACACAACAGTTCGGATGTCAGTAGTCTAAAACACACAAAAACTGATTAATGTCCAGTAAAAGTGGATATGACGTTCTGAAACTCTTCCTCTAAAAGAACAAATTCCATATAAAATCACTATAGCCCATGAACTTGTAGCGGTAAATAATTAACCCAAAATCAAATAGCTCCGTAAGTTTTCGACACTGGATGCTGACCACAGTTTTAGTGGACTCATCTAGCTGAAGGCGCTCGGTCAAGCATCCGCACCGGATCAGGTGTGGGAACGCCGTGCTCAACATCTGCCTCAATCGCTAGCCAGATTAGTGCAAACGATCCTCGATATATTGATAGCTTATCAAATATATCTTCGATCTCCTCACTTCTGTCTTTTGATTTTACTTGGTGGGTGCGCTTCGTATTAAAAGGTGTTACTGGTTAAAGCGTTGTCAAACTCCGAATACTTGTGGCATCTTCATTGGCGAGCCCGACGTGATCTGGTACACCATATTGTAAACTGTGAGTCTGTTCCTTTTTGTGATTTTATATATCATTGTCTTATTTTAATTTTTTTTCAACATTGTGATATTTTTTCCCGTGTTTTTGGGTTTATATATATATTTGCCACTCGTTCACTTTTCGTACTTGATATATTACGATGACTGAACAGACCCCTAAAGTATTTAAGTTAAAGACTGTGTCCCCGCCCTCTTTCCAACTTATGCCTTTCTGGCCGGACAACATCGAAGCCTGGTTTTGTTACGCAAAAGCCGACTTCTACGAGCACGGTGTGAACGATGCGCGTGCACAATTCCTCGCAGTAGTCAAGGCACTACCGCGCGAATTTAACAGGTACGTAACACCTAGTATGTTTACTAGTGATGTTTCTGATCCATACCAAACCCTGAAACATGACATCTTTAAACGCGGAGATCTAACCGATCGACAAAGGTTAGACCAACTCCTCAACAACATCGACCTGCAACACGGTTCTGCCACAGACATGTTGCAAAGAATGCGAGAAGTCATTGGCCAAAGAACCTTCGATGACGGCCTATTCAAACAACTTTTCTTGTCCAAACTTCCTCAACAGGTGCAAGCTGTTTTTGGTCTCGTTCCAAAACAACGCCGTAGACGAGCTAGCTGCATCTGCCGACCGCATTCTCGAAATCACTAGGTCTTCTAACGCCGAGGTTTTTTCAGTCAAAGAAAAGCCTCAAACGACCCAGAATGACATAACACAGTTATTTCATACACTTACGCGTTATCTCAAACTCTGTAACGACCGTAAACGATCACTTACCCCGCGGAGAAGCACACCACGTAGGCGATCTGTATCTAGAACTCGAGAGACGGATAATCCTGATTGGTGCTGGTACCATAACCAGTACGGAAAGTCCGCCAGAAATTGCAAAAATCCCTGCAATTTTCCCAACGCGAAATCCGTCGACGCGAAGAACGTTTCGGGAAACTTCCAAGCCGGCACGCGTTAACGGCGACCGTAGCCGGCGAACATAGCCGTCTTTTATATGTCACTGATGTGATAACGAGAGTTCGCTACCTCGTAGATACTGGCGCAGTGGTTAGCGTTCTCCCAGCGGATTCCAACGAACGGCTACACGAGCCCGTTTTAAATCTACAGGCGGCAAACGGAAAGCCTATCACTACGTATGGCCAAAGGTATGTTTATCTTAACGTGGGTTTACGCAAACCCATTCACTGGATTTTTGTTGTTGCAGATGTTTCTGTGCCAAACATTGGTATGGACCTTCTACAACACCACAACTTCATTATCGATACGCGCAAACGGAGGTTAGTAGACGAAAACACTAATTTATCTGTTTGCCTGACTTCTTTTTCTGGTTGCAGGTTATCTCCAGTCACTATTAAGCACGCTATAGACCCCTTCTACCAACCACTACTCGATAAGTATTCTGGCATTTACCGATCGCAACCGAAATTGTCGTGTGTAACCAGAAGTGTTACACATCACATCACGACTACAGGACCACCTGTCTTCTCGAAAGCACGCCGACTGGCGAAAAACGAATTCGACCATATGATAAACTTAGGAATCATACGACCGTCAAATAGCCCATGGGCATCTCCGTTGCACATGGTCTCTAAAAAGGACAGCAACGATTGGCGTCCAACTGGTGACTATCGGAGATTGAATGCAAAAACCATTCCCGATCGTTACCCGTTGCCCCACATTCACGATTTGACATCTACCTTGAAAGGTGCAACTGTCTTTTCAAAAATCGACTTGGTAAAAGCTTATAACCAAATTCCTATGGCCACTGAATACATTCCAAAAACCGCTATTATAACGCCCTTCGGACTATATGAATTTTTGCGAATGCCTTTCGGTCTGAGAAACGCGGCACAGACTTTCCAAAGGTTCATAGATGACGTTTTTCGAGGTCTCAACTTCGTAAATGTGTATGTTGATGACTGCCTAATAGCAAGTTCGGACAAAGAATCACATCTCTAGCATCTGGACCTTGTTTTCGACCGACTAAAAACACATGACATTACTGTTAACTTTCAGAAATGCAAAATCGGAACTGACTCCTTAGACTTCCTAGGACACACTATCGATACGCAAGGTAGCCGTCCCCTTAGAAGAAAAGTGGCGGCCATTCTGGATTACCCAGAACCGACCACCATCAAGCAATTGCGCACGTTTAACGGTCTGGTAAGTTTCTACAGATGATACACACCGAAATGCGCGTTACTTATGAAACCTCTTACCGACCAACTTCGTGTAAATGCGAAATCCATTAATCTAGATGACACTACCCGAAAAGCATTCTCCACGGTTAAGGAAAATATCGCCCGAGCAGCAATGCTTGCTCATCAAGACCCTAAAGCGCTCATTAGCATCTCAGTAGACGCATCCGACTCAGCAATTGGAGCAGTCTTACAACAATGTGTTAACCACTCCTGGCAACCTTTGGCATTTTTCTCTAGACGGTTGCTAGACACTGAATCGAGGTACAGCGCATTCGGTAGGGAACTCCTAGCTATGTATTGTGCTGTCCGGCATTTTCAACACTATAATGAAGGCCGAGAATTTATCATTTTTACCGACCATAAACCACTTACCTTCTCCTTAAGCTCTTCTTTGGACAAGTACTCACCACGTGAGTCTCGACAACTGGACTACATTTCGCAGTTTACTTCAGATATTCGACACATTTCTGATGCAAACAATGTAATTGCAGACGCCTTGTTTCGTATAAATTCCTTGAACAGTTCCCAATGAATCGACCTTTTAAAACTCGCCCAACTTTAAAAAGAAGACAGTGATCTTCAGCACGAGTTGTCCTGAACAACACTTAAACTGCGCATTAAACAGATAGGGACAGGTAAGGAAACCTTACTTTGTGGCTCATCTACGGGTAGGGATCGCCCAATCGTGCCGAAACAATATCGACGCAACGTCTTCGATACGTTGCACAGACTTTCTCATCCAGGTGTTCGTGCAACCATCAAGCTTATAGCAGAACGGTTTTGCTGGCCTGGTATGAATAAAGACGTGAGGGAGTGGGCACGCTCCTGTGTAAGCCGCCAGAAATCTAGGGTTATTAGGCATAACAAATGTCCCTTAGGCTCGTTTAAAACTCCCGATGCTCGCTTCGACCATGTTCATTTGGATTTGGTAGGACCTTTACTAGATTCGAATGGATATTCTTATCTTTTAACATGCGTAGACCGTTTTACTCGATGGCCAGAAGCAGTACCCATCAAAGACATTACTGCTGAAACGGTAGCTCGCGCCTTCGTCGAGAGGTGGGTAGCAAACTTCGGCTGCCCAACAACCATTACTACAGATCGTGGACGTCAGTTTGAATCTGAACTGTTCCGTTGTCTGACCATGAAACTAGGAATCACTCGCTTTCGAACGACGGCCTACCACCCACAAGCAAACGGGTTGGTAGAACGTTTTCACTGACAACTAAAAGCGTCACCATCAGCCTCAAACATTTCTCAGTGGACTGACGCTCTTCCACTCGTCTTACTAGGCATACGCAATGCAGTGAAATCTGACATTGGATACACTGCATCTCAACTCGTTTATGGTACGACCCTTCGACTTCCAGGAGAGTTCGTGGATCCTTCATCCTCTTCGATGGACATGGATCCAACCTCCTACGCGAACAGGCTTACAAACGCAATGCGTTCAGTTAAACCTGTTTCCACTCGACCACAATCAACTGATGTTTTCGTTCAACCTGACTTACTACATAGTACACACGTTTTTGTGTGTCAAGACTCGCATCGACGACCTCTCGAATCAACATATGAAGGACCTTTTAAAGTTCTTCAACGCGAATCTAAGTACTATACAATCGATAAGAACGGAACCAACGAAAGCATCAGTATCGATCGCCTCAAAGCAGCGTATTTAAAACGAAATCCTATTCACGTCGATTTTCCTTCAAAACAATCGCACGACACAACTCCTGCACTTATAATACCTCAATCGACAGCAGACACACACGTTGATACTTCGACAGTATCCGAAAATAAACTCAAAACAACGCGTTCTGGAAGAAGAGTAAGATTTCCAGAACACTTGAACGATTACTGCACGTAAGGCACAAGTTAACATTTTATATCCTCTCGATTTTCCCTGGTACTATATATTATTTTTTTTATGGAAAAAACCCGAATTTAATACGCTTATATATTTTTATTATTTTTTTATTTCAAAAAAGAAAAAACAAAAGAATAACGATATTATAAAAATCCATTTTTACGCTACTACGTGAGCATGAGTTTGCTTTCCTTTTTCCTCGCCTGTTTTGTGTTTTCACGCGCGTACGAG